TCTCCTTGTCCTTATTTCCTCATAAAGCAGGGACCACAGACAAAGGCATGAGAAGACTTCAGAGCTGGACTGAGTGACCGAGAAACCACCTCATCATCCCGAATTTTAATATTTTCAGACATAATGACCAAGTCCAGCTTCTCAAGGGACATGGATCCACGTAGCTCACCTACCACACAAACAGGAATACGTTGAGGACATGGTGTGACACCCACACACTTGCTACATGACATTTGTGGATATTAAGACCCCATGTTCACCCTGCCTTATAATGACTTTCATGTGCTTGGCATTACCCTAATCTCTACCTTATTTAGAATCTCAGTATTTCTAAGTTTATTCTTAAACTTTTAGGGAATATTTGAAATGCACTCTTCAGCATGTAGACCCCAAAACTGAGCTGAGCAATCTGTGTGCCTCTGCTGGTCAGAGGTATAGTCTGGCTCTGGTTGCAATGCTGCCTAAACCAGACACGTGGATATCTGTCTAGTTCAGAGTGACGGCATGAAAACAATCTCGAGGATAGGATATTAAAAACAAATAGGGAAAGTGTAACACCAAGTTCATGAAAATGCTTCCTGGTTCAGAAGCAAGGGAAAATAAGCTAACACATGCAGCTTAATTATGCACTGGGTAAGTTTTACATTCAGTAGTGTTATCTTGCATGCTTTGGTTAATATTTGAGTAGGCAGATTTGCGAGGATTAATGCATGCATTATTTCTGCACCTGAGGTTATATGTTTCACTTTTTAAAAATTGCCTTTTTACAAACCATATGCCAGAATTAATCTCCGACACTTAAAAAATATATATCTACTTAGTTCAAAACAGTTTATAGTTCAATCAGTTTTGTAAATACCGAGAAGATAGACTGGGCAGTAAAAACCCAGAGAGGGAATGCATTTGGATTTATTTTAATAAATCCAAAATTATGTGTGTGCATGTGTAGTAATTTCTAAAATAAGAGGCCTCAAAAAGATGACACATGAAGTAAGCCTTCAGAATACCCTGTTTCAAAAAAGCATTTCAAGGTGTAAAACAGCAGCAACAACTTTGGGAAAGTACAGCCCAGTTCTGTGGAACTGAGGGAGCACAAAAGGAGCTTGCTTTTATGTTGCCAAGGAGCTCACCAAGTTCATGGTAAGTAGTTTGGGAACTCCTGGCACAAGTGGGGCTAGTACAATTGTGTTTAAGTCTTGCTTGTACAGCAAGAATATACTAGAAAGATTTATCTAGTGTGACTAACTGGACATGGACCCAAGATTCTACTTGGTAGCTCTCGATTATTATGCTAAGTGAAATAAACCAGTCAGAGAAAGACAAATACCATATGATCTCATTATAGGTGGAATCTAATAAACAAAATAAATGGATGAACAAAATAGAAATAGAGGCAGGGGTACATGGAACAGACTGATGGCTGTCAGAGGGGCTGCGGGAGGAGGGCTGGATGAAAGGTGAGGGATTATCCAAAAAACATATATGCTTAACCCACAGACATAGATAACAGTGTGATGATGAGCGGAGGGAATGGGGGATGGGGTCAGGGGCTCAGTGGAGGTGGGAAAAGTGGGGGAAAGTGGGAACATCTATAGTAGTGTTAACAATAGGAAAAAAAAGAATGAAAAAATGGCATAAAATTGTGAAAATGGGTGTGTCCTGGACTTTCCAACCCCGTTAAAAGTATCACTAATTTGCTGTTTTAGATAAAATGCAGATCGGCTGAGAAAGCACAGCTCACAGTTCTCTATGAAAGTTTCCTGGTGAACAAGATCTGCCTTTCTTTTAAGGAGTCGTAGGGAGTGGGAGAAAGCCAAGGCAATGGTGACTCAATATGGTTGGTCCAGTAAATGGATGCTTTACTCCTTCCCCTCCCTCCCTTGTCCCTCCAACTCCTCCTCACTTGGAGGTCTAGCAGCACAGAGATAACCCGGTAGATGTAGTTATGACCTATTTTGAAATTCAGCAATGATCACTGGCCTTCTCTGCATTTTCATCCAATGTCCTGGTGAAATTGGTCCTTGAGAGTCACAGCTATGCAATTGAGTGGCCACTCTTGTAAAACTGTACCATCCTCTGAGAGATCTTGGGCTGTTACTCGGTAATGCAAGAAAGGAAATAATCAAGGCCTCCCCAGAGTGCTTCCAAAGGAATCAAGGCCATCCTCCCCTTTCAAATGGAAAGAGTAATATAAATGACATTACACCATGATGGTAAGATACCCAAAACAATTTTTCTTTTTAAAAAAGGTGTATAAACTTAAGAAAAAGATGTATACAATAAAAACTTTTAAGATCTTGCTACTTACTTTTTGGTGTTGCTCTGATTGCTGTAAACTTTCACTTGCTTTTTAGTAACTGTTTTAACTCAACTTTATTAAAAATATTATGAAAAAAATGTCTTGGGCAATAATTCCGCACCTGCTGACAGGTAACAGCTTAGGAAAATCTTAGTTCTGATGGACTAGATATATTTGGTAGGAGAAAGACCTACCAAATGCTCTGCAAATTACCAAATTATGATGGGAATGGAAAATTGTTCCCTCAAGCTGAAAACAATTCCTTGGAGTTTGAAGTTGTTTTATACTCAAATAGCAAAATAAAACGGGGTCCCAAATTTGCCAGTACTTAGCAACAATCAATTTAAATAAAAACAATGCACATTTACCCAACTGTCAGGCTTTAAATTGTTACTGATCTCATTTCATAGTGGCAGCAAAGCTAATAAAACAGTCTATTACTATTGCAAATTTAGTTACTATTGAAAGTATAGAATGTTGTCATAAGCAGAACATTTATGAAAAGAGGCTTTTAACTCTTTGTTTGGAGGTTCCTAATGGACTATAATGGATGCAAGTCAGCTGGCCAGCATGGATGCACAGGAGGAGGAAGGGACGTTAGGAGAAGGGATGCTATTCCATCAGGGATACTCAGCCCGGTAGCTACCATCAGTTGGCGGCTGGTCCTATGAGTCCTTCCCAGGCTGTTTCTAGGATTCTGAAATCCTGGAGAATACCATCCTTGAAAATCTTGTTGAGCTTTTCTTTGCTTCTGAGCCTGCAGGAAAATAGGTCAAGACTGGTTGTCACTGCTGCCCACTGGTGAATGCCTCAATGCCTTGCCTCCTGCTGGTCCAGTTGGAGGCATCATCTCACCCGAGTGAGCTTTGACAGTGAACAGCAAAGCTGCCACCACAGGGCCCTCAACTCTTCGTTTTTGTAAACTAGAATAGGTTATAATGCACGGAAGCCTCAAGGATTTGTGGTTTCATGTTAACCTGAGGCCCCTTCTTATGCCAGGGACTTTGAAGGTAACAGAGGAGACCATTTCTGCCTGCACCCTGAGTTCAGTATGTGTGCAGTAGAAGCTAACTCCACAGTCAATTGAACTGTCTTGATTCAATGGCTGGTTTTCCTGGTTAACTATATTCATGAATAAAACCAGCTATTACTAACCAAAGGACATGAGGAAAAGCTGGAGTCAGATTGCTTTGGGAAGATCCTGGAGGAACCAGACAAACTGAAGTAGAATGGGACAACTTACCAGGACAAGTTACCAGAACTGGGCATTGGTGAAGTTATATTTTGGTTAGCATTTTGCAAACAATTTTTCTAAACCTTCCAAAAGTGAGTCTTTCTGAATAATTGCCGAATCCCCCAACAAGCACAGAACACTCTGAAGAACCGAGTGGGATGGAACCAATGGAATAAAAGACCATTGCCAACGGGAAGTCCTAATACTTCATAAATGTTCGAGAGCCCAGGGGCATGCATCTTTCATGTGAAACCTCTGATGTTCAGGGAGACTCAGCTCCAAAGTACTGGTCTCTGTCACTTAGAATGCAAAAGGGTGAGCAATGCAGATTATTATGGAACTCAGAAAAGCACAATTGTTAGGAAAAATGTATTTATCACTCTTAAGAAATGCTATTTAAAATATTAACAATGGAAAAAGAATATCAGTGTGCCGGGCAGTTGATAAGCAAGTAAAATATGAAATTTAGGTAAGTTAATGTTAACTCATTAGAAATCATGACATCATCGAACTTCCATCCTGCAGAGAATGCACCTTTCTCCAGGTGTCCCACGAGCAAGTCCCTTAGAAACAGGGCCTAATCGCCTGCTTAAGGTCAAACAGTCTCAGACAGCACATGAATAAGGTCTGTGTTTGCATATTTACACCCTCTGTCATGTCTGCTTTAAGGAAAACACTCCTTGAAAACCCTACACTGTGAAAAACTATTTTCAGGAATTTTTATTTGGTCCATTGAGCTAACAAGGCTGAGTTCCCAAATCTTTTACCCCCCACGTTAAAAATTGGAGCAACAAAACAGAACTCCAGCAAGGCATAAATAAGATATTAAAGTGCATATATACAGTCCCAGAAAAGTTTTGATTGGGAACAGCAAAAAATTTCTAGTGCAAAAACTGCTTTTTGCCAGCAAAGCTCCTTCTCTGGAATCAAAAAGCTACAGTAAAAGTTAAAATTGGGACGGGTGTAAGCAATGCCTCTTTTTAGTCGAGTTAATATTTGTGCATGCACCTTGGCCCAAACTACGTTCAATCTTCTAAAAGGGGGAATTTCAGGGGACAGTTCAGAAAGAGTCAGAATTCCCTGATCTGAGGCAGTGCTTTCTCCAGGCGTCCCACGAGCAAGTCCCTTAGATGTGTTATCAGTCGCAAGTGGGGACAACAACCCAAAGGAGATGTTTTGCGACAGGCTTGCAGCTTGTGGAAAGAGTATTCACATAGTTACTTTAGTTACTTTATCTTGGTTAGTCTTGAGCCTCTCGCTTCTTCTTTCGAGCCCGACCTTGACTCCATATAACATTTTTGTGCTTTAGGATCTGAACAGAGACTGGGCATTGTCTGTAGGTATTCCCTCAGGCTCTCTCACCATGGCCTTTTGAACATCCGGTGTCACCATTTTGGAATTCATAATAAAATAGGTTTGCATTTCTGAGTACACATATAGACAGGGATTATCATGTTTTCTTTTCTTTCAAGGATCCAAATTGAAAGCTCTTAGGAGGACATCCAGGTCGCCGAGGTTGGCTGCCTGGAAGAGTTCTGGCTGGTCCATCAGAGACAGCGCGATTCTGAGGGCAGCCCAGATGTTCCCGGAGATGGCAGGATGAGGAACTTGCTGTTGATTCCGGCTTTTCCTCTGCAGACTGAGGGCAGTGAGAAAATTGCTGACCGCTTCTCTAAGAGGGTAGAAAAACAGACATTTACAAATGCAAGGCATTTCAGCATTAGCAAATAAGACAACAAAAATGGATGAAGTTATTTTAGTCTAAAATCCTAAATCACCTTTCTATGCTGTGTTGGCTCATCAGATGAACAACTTTCTGATTCTGTCATTACTCCTTTGTGAAAAATCATCGTTTAATGTAGTGAAATCAGAAAGAAAAAAAGCAAAGAAATTTTTTATTTTAGGAAAATCATGTGGGAGAGGAAGAGTAATGGCTAACTCTTCAATGCATCCACTTTTCTCTACTCCAAGAATGACGTGAAGACTAGTCCATTCACAGATGTGGTTTATATAACTAGGGTTGAAGAGGAAGCATCTGGACCCCCTCAGAAACAAAGTGTCTAACTTTTCCTATTTATGATAGAAATACGAGGAGCAGCAGGAGAAGAGTTCAGTTTCTTATCAGAGCATCTGGGCTTGTATCCCATTATGTTACAGTAGGCAAATTTTTTATCTTCTATAAACCTCAGTTCCTTCCAACTATATAATAGGGAGACTAGAAGTCATTTTAAAGTCTTGTGAGGTGCAGTGGAATAATTTTATGTGAAAACTCCTACCATTAATTTAAATTGTTCTCTTAAGTGTTGTTGGAGGAACCCTGAGGATCAATGAGGCCAAAATAATGTTTAAAGTAATCCTGAGATGTTCTTTTACCTTTTATTGTTATTCTCTCATGAATATACACTGGAATTTTCTAGGGACCTCATGATTTTCACCATCCCACAGATTGAATGTGGAAGCAGTAATGAGTCTTCTTTTAAGCAAAATATTAATAGATTCACAAAAAATGATAAAAGAATGCCACTCTTCACTAAACATTTATTTTTGTTTTGAAAAATAATTTTTAGCGGTAAAATATGTAATTAATATTAACATGTAATTAGTTTATTATATTTAAATGAGTCTTTCAAAAGTTTTTGTGTAAGTTCTAAATGGTAAAATTCATAGATAAAACCCCGTAAGAAAAGCCCTGTGAAGTTCTCAGTAGCTGTTAAAAATGTAAAAGATGTCTGGCTTGTATGGCTTAGTTTGTTGAGTGTCATCTCATGCATCAAGAGGTCACCAGTGCAATTCCTGGTTAGGGCAAATGCCCAGGTTGTGGGCTTGATCCCCAGTAGGAGGCATGCAGGAGACAAAGTTTATTCTCATACTACTGGCCTGGTGCATGGATTCATGCACATTAAAAGTAAATTAATTAGAAGAAATATTTTAATATTTCTATTTTCCCTTTCTCTGCAATAGAACTGTCAACCAAATTCACAATTGACCATGACAGATCGAAACACACATGTGCAATTGGCACCAGCGAGAGCTTTTCTTTATCTTATGTATTGCGCATGTGCGAATCAACTCAGCCTTTTATATATATAGAATAAACTTGCTTAATTAGACCTGCTTTCTGATTTAGCTAAACTTTTCCCAGCCCAGTGAAGCACCCCAACTTCTCTTTCAGGTAATTGTCAGCAACACAGCAGTAAATATCAACATGAAGCAGATTATTACTGTAGATCATGCAAGGAGGAAAAAAGATAAAATATTTAACTGAAGCAGAATTTGATTATATCCTGCACAGTGACAAAGCCTGAAGTCATTTTCAAGGTCCAACATTTCTTACTTTTTTTCAGTTAAGTCAAGTTTCTAAACTTTCTAAATGTTTGTTTATCCGGATTCCACCAAGTCTCCTATCTAACTATCCCAGGATTTCTGTGAGGATCAAATGAGATGAAGTACAGAAAAATGCTTCACAGACATTTGGTTAAAGTATAAAATGTTTGCACCTGGCTATAACACAAGTCATGTGCCTGGCCTGAAGAAACCCCAAGGAGGCTAGTTGCTAGGGAGAGGAAGCCAGGCATTGCTATGTGATGTCATTATCTGGTGCCCATAGTGACCATTTCCAGTCTGGGCTGGATGGTGGGCCACATTTTGTGGCATGCGGTCTCAGAAGCGTTGGCTGTGATTTGGTGGGCTGTCACTCCAGGGTGGTGGCAGGCCCTGTGTGGGGGAAGCTGAGGGTTGATTTGTTGGCACCAGGTCCGTAGTGCTGTTTCTTTGTAAATGGCCAGTGTGCATCATGGCAGGTCCTGCATTGAGTACCCCCTGGTGGTTAGTGCACATCAGAGTAACTGGTTGGATGGTTGGAGGGACATGTAGCTTATTAGCTATATATATAGGTATAGATATAGATATAGATATAGATATAGATATAGATATAGATATAGATATAGATATATAGATTATGACTTATTAATTATATTATTTTCCAGACTAACAACTATAAATCTAGTTTTGCCCACCCTATATTATTATCAAAGAGGATGAGATTTATCTTTTCATTAAAAACTGGCGCTCACTTTTGAAATGGTTAAGATTCGTTGGTCTAAGCTCTACTCTGGCACTCCGGCTGACAACAGGGTAGCATTTTAAGCTATACCCTCATTTCAGGCCAACAACTTCCTCTTCTTACTTCAACTGTATTCAGTACTAGAGTAGGGCGTGCCTTCGACTTCTTATAGAGAGTGTGAGATGACAAACAGTGAGTGTTATAAGGTATACACGCACACCTGCAGTTCTTAAGGGACACGTCCCAGACTTTGTACCAGCACCTGGCTCTCCTCTGAGCCACATCTCTATTGAGGATTGTTATTTCCTACATATATGCTTACACCTCAAGTTAAACTTACTTTCAGAATTCATTTTGTGTCTCCCTTGATGGTCTTTTTTTTTTTCTTCAGGGAAAAAAAATGCAATATGTTTATCACTTCATAAGCTTTCCCATATCCATCATGACAATTTAAGTCATACAAAACTTGGCCAAGAAGTTCCAAAGTTGCTCTTTGATCCAGATGGACAGACTTAGCCAGGAAGAATTCAGGATGCACACTTAAATTTCAGTTTCAGATAAACAAAGAATAAGTTTCAGTATAAATATGTCCCATGCAATGTTTGGGAAATATTTATCCTAAAATCATATTTACTATTTATGTGAAATTCCAACTTAACCAGGCATTCTATATTTTATCCAGCAACTTTAACATTGACTTGCTTTTGTCCTGCTTGAGGGTTAAAAGTCCACACCTCACCAGGGTTGCCCATTTCTACTTGTCAGGGACCTTCGGGGATTCCTGCAAATATTTGCCCTGCTGAGGCTTACATCTCTGATTGCCAAGAAAGTGGTCTGTTGGCCCCTCAAGTATGTTTTTTACACCAAAGAGTTGCAATAATAAAAAAAACACAAAAGCTCATCCAGCCTGGTTAGTGTGGCTTGGTGAGGGAGCGTTGACTTATGAACCAGGAGGTCACATGGTTCAATTCTCGGTCAGGGCACATGCCTGGGTTGTGGGCTTGATGCCCAGTAAGAGTCAGCTGATCAATGATTGTCTCTCACATTGATGTTTCTCTTTCTTCCTCTCCCTTCCTCTTTGAAATCAATAAAAGTATATTTTAAAAAAATAAATAGAAAAAACTCATCCAGAAGCCTTACAAAAGCCTCCTTTAATTGAATTCAATGTACCTACATGCACATATGTATTTATTTACATCTGTCCTTGTTCCAAAAAAAGGACCTAAGTTGTCTCATAAAACATACCTAGAAAATACGTGAACAAAATGCGTAACACCTTAAGTGCCAAGCCTGCTTTGTCTTCCTTTCCTTTTCAGTCACTGGCGACCTACATGGCGCTTAACATGGTAAAGATAAGATCAGGTCAGGGACATCAGAGGAAGCCAGGGATGAAGTTAACATACAACATGGACACTGTCAGGCCTGAGAGGTTGATGTGCAGGGAGGCGGCACCCTGCAATCCAGCCCTCCGCACAGCTGCTGTCGCGAGGACCTCAGCAAGGTCACAATGTCCACAGCATAACACAAACCTCAGGGGTCACTCAGGTTTCCTGGTTTTGATCCGAGCAAACCAGGGACTGATGAATGCTCTTTGTAAGATCCCTTTGTTATAAACGGAGTATCTAGTTTCCGGAGCCTTAATGTTTGTCAATAGCACAGTGTTCAGAAACAGGAATTCTTCAGATGGCAAAATGATGCCATTTAGTTATGTAACTCTCTGATGACTTAACCTAAATAATAACAGTAATGATACTGACGATGACAGCAGTAGTATTCGTAATACTGATGCCTGCTAAGTATGGAGCATCTGCTCTGTGCTGGGCAATTGTACTTAAACTGCACAATATTCCTGCAAGATAGACATTATTACTCCCCCAACCCCCTTTTTGAAGCAGGTGAGGAAATTGAAGCTCACCATTATGGGCTCAGAGTCATAAAACTAATAAATGGCAGAACTGTGATTGGAACCCAAGCTTATCTGGTTCTAAGAGCCTGGGAATGAAAAAAGGTTTAAAACGAACACTGAGTTCTCTCTCTCTTTCCAGTTATGAAAGCAATACCGGTTTACTTAGAAAATAGAAGGAAAAGCCAAAACCGGTTTGGCTCAGTGGATAGAGCGACGGCCTGCGGACTGAAGGGTCCCAGGTTCGATTCCGGTCAAGGGCATGTACCTTGGTTGCGGGCACATCCCCACTAGGAGGTGTGTGTGCAGGAGGCAGCTGACCGATGTTTCTAACTCTCTATCCCTCTCCCTTCCTCTCTGTAAAAAATCAATAAAATATATTAAAAAAAAAAGAAAATAGGAGAAAAAAAATAGAAAAAGAAAGAAGAAAAGAATTACCCGAATTTTCATTACACAAAGGAAACAAAGGTTGTGTCCGGTCCCTGTGGATGGGGATGAGACAGGAGAGGACATACACTCAAGTGATAGTGAGGAATCGTGAGAGAAAAAGAAAACCATTTCAAACAGCAAACCCACACTTTATAAATAGTTCCTGAAAATTGTTTTATTGCTCACTTTATTGGCTTAGAGAACCTGGGTTCTTGGTTGTGCTTTGCCAAAATCTGGCCTTGGACCCTTTTTAAGTCATTTTGCTGGTTCTCCTGTCTCCCTCTCCCTCATACCCCCAGGTTTTCTTTCCCTTACCAGGAAAATGAAAGTTCAGATTATTCTCAGAGTCGCCCTTGGGGATGTTAAGAATCCAGATAACTTGTCCCAACCCTGACTGACTAAATTAAAAAAAAAAAAAAAAAAAAGTCTCTAGATGGGGCCTGGGGATCTGCATTTCACATGGTCCCAGTAGGATGGCTGCACTCTAAAAAGAGGAGGAGGAGGAGGAGGAGGAGGAAGAGGAGGAGGAAGAGGAAGAGGAAGAAGAGGAGAAAGGAGGAAGAGGAAGAGGAGGAGGAGGAAGAAGAGGAGAAAGGAGGAGGAGGAGGAGAAAAAGGAGGAGGAGGAGGAGGAGGAGAAAGAGGAGGAGGAGGAGGAGGAAGAGGATGAGGAGGAGGAGGAGGAGGAGGATTACTCCTAAAAGGAGACATTTTAGTGGCAAACCACCTATCAGGTTATCCCGCCTTGGTCCCCCGCTCGCTCCCTGTCACACCTCACCTGTAGGCGCCCAGGTTGATGCAGCTGATGCCCAGGTTGTATCTGGAGCGGATGAAGCCCGGCTGGATCTCCAGCGCCCGCGTGTAGGCCTCCACGGCTTCCTCGCTGCGGTCTCCATTCGCCAAGGTCGCCCCCAGGCGGTTCCACAAGGAATAGTCCTGATGACAGAGAGAGGGGCCTCTACCCACCAGCACCGGCCACCCTGGCAGAGTTCTCATGTCCCTGCAGCAGAAGCTGGTGGCTGAACATTTATCCGGAGCTCATGGACAGGGGCCGGGCCATGGGGAGTTAATTACTCAAAGAACTTTAGGGAAATGACCCTCCTTCATCAAGGAGAGCTACCACGGCGTGCTGTCAGGCAGTTCATGTTTCTATGTTAGGTATTTAAGTCTGAATAGTTACAGTAGCACATCATGAGTACTGATCGCTTTCAACGGCTGGGTGCAGGGAAATAAAGTGAAGCAAAAATGCACAGTCCTGCCCAGCTGGATCAGTGGTTAGAGCACTGGTCTGTGCACCTGAGGGTCTCAGTTCGATTCCCAGTCAAGGGCATGTGCCTGGGTTGCAGGTTGGATCTTAGTCCAGCTGGGGCTCATGTGGGAGACAACCAATCCATGTGTCTCTCTCACAACTAACTCTCCTCTCTCTCTCTCTCTCTCTCTCTCTCTCTCTCTCTCTCTCTCTCTCTCTCTCTCTCTCTCTCTCTCTCCTTTCTCATCCCCTCTAAAAATCAATAGAAAAAAATCCTCAGGTGAGGATCAAGAGAATGTACGAAGTACATCTGGTGAAAACTGTCCTTTAGCCGAGAACCGTATGGTTTCTTGCTGCGCACTCACCTCTGGCCGGACAGTTAAGGCGGCGTTGAAGGCATCGATCGCTCTGTTAAACTCCCCGCTCAGGTGGAACAGCACCCCGAGACCTGTCTGCAGGTCTGGGTCGATCACGTCTCCGTTTTGGTGGGCGGCTTCCAGATATAATTCTTTCACGCCTTCCAGAACAGAGCTGCCAGGGGGAAAGCAGATCTGTAATCCAAAGAGTCTGAACGTAAATGCTTTTCTATCATGTCTGCTATTCTTTACAGACTGGAAAAAATATCTTGCTTAAAACATCTTAGTGTTTGAGAGGACTATTATTATTTTATTTATTTATTATTGATTATGGTATCACATAATTGTCCTCATCCCCTCCATTCACATCCCAAACTCCTCCCCACATATGCCCCCACCCCACTGTTGTCCATGGCCACTGGCTAGGCCCATATTCATGCACACAGGAGAGGACTATTATTAATACTGCAGTTTAAACATTCCTGCCTATTTCCATGAAATACTTTGTTGTACAGAGACACAAACAGTGCAAGGAAAGGAGCGTTCCACTGATCCTGTAAGGAGAAAACCCTGGGTGTCCGAGGCCCCAGTGAGAAAGAATTTAACAGCATCGTTTATTGCTGATAGAAATAAAATTCCGGAAGAAAGGACTTACATTCCCCCCCCCACCCCGCCCCACCCCATACCTAATTCTCAGGCTTTACAAAACTTGGCACAAGGCTACTTATTATCATTTATTTTGGGTTAATTATGTGCCCAAAGCATTTGGCTTTAGCGTATGGCACTCCAATAAATATCTGTGGGTGCCCACGGTGTAGATCACGTGTCCAAAGGTTGGCCCCACTCTCAGCTCCATCTTTTCAATCAGCGCTGCTCTCCTGGCAGAACGCTGTCCGACACGCCATCTGGCCCGGGTGGCGGGGACCCCAGGCTCATTCATTACCGTCACGGTGATTAATTGTGTGTGAGGGTGTAATTTAATGATGTGGATACCTATCCACGGGAGACTTAGACATCCTCCGGGCGAGGCCTGGAGATCCCTTCTTGCTCTTCACCAGGTATTTGTACTTTGGATTTTGCTTAATCCAGTTCTTCAGCGCGTCACAGGCATCCTGCTGATGGCCCGTGTTCGTGTAGCTCACGGCCAAAGCCATCAAAGCTTTCAAGTTGTTGGGCTGCAATTCTAAGCACCTGAAGGAAGGGGGGAAAGCCAATTTCAGAATTTTGTTTTTCTGGAGTTAGAGTCTGAACAGTTCTTTAGAAAATCTTAGGTCTTTCTTTAATTAAATGATACTGTTAAGGCTATGTTAAATCCCTGGAGAATATCACATTCATTACCTACATGAAAATTAGGACCTACGCTTATTTTTAAGAAAGTTAAAACTCACCCTGATGCATGACAGGTTTGGCAATTTTAATAAATAATTTAAAAACTACAGAAAATATGGCAAATCCCTGCACACAATTTATTAATAGTTAATCTAATGAGAAGTAGGGGATATCATTAACGCTGCTCTACTGTCAATGTATTAAATGCACCTTATCCACAAAGCAAACTGATTTGAATTGAATCTGGACATTTAGAGATGAAAGGTTGAACAGTGTTGTGTAAAACTTGAGGGAAATTCTATGTTTCCAGACTATCCATGTGGGTTTCCCAGGCTACAGTGCTTCCCCTCATGCTATTCCATTGGCTTCTGGCAAGGGCTTTTCAAACTTTGATGTGCATGGGAATCATCTGGGAATCTGGTAAGTGCAGCCTCTGATACAGAGGACCTATGATGGGCCCAGGCTGTGTGGGTCTGACAGGACCCCAGGTGATGACGATGCTAGGAGTCTCTAGATAAGACTTTGAGTAGCAAGCCCCTAGGTGGTCCCTATATCAGTGCTTTAGAAAGAGGATATATATGAAAGAGTAGGGTCTGTTCTCCCCACCCCCCCCGAGTTTAAATGGGGTCTCTAATCAAGTATGGTGTGATGCTACACCCTCCCAAAGTAGTCTAGAGCTTAGTTAGGGGCTCAGGAGTTAAACTTGCAGGTTGCAGAAAATATCTCGGGAGATGCTTTGTAGACATCACAGTTAAAACTGCATTGAGATTACTTGAGTATATATTTTTTTATGAAGAGAACTTTCAAATGCTGCAGAGGGATAGGACATTAAAAAGGACTATTAATTCAGTGAGTCTATTTTATGACTGCTTTTGACATAGACTCTTTCATGCGAATGAAGGCCAACGATTTGTAAATGGCCTAACATTGAGACTGAGGAACATTATGTCTTCATCAGTTCCAATTTTTCACAGCTATGTATAAGTCCTATGAGGCCTCTCAGCACTTATTCCAGCCAAATTCTTTGCAATGTGTATGAAGGTCAAAAGGTAAATCTGGAGCAACGGGAAGTCCATTAACAGGTGTCCACCAGGCCCGTGGTTTCGCACTTAGCTTCACTACCTCTGGAGGGCGACAATGGCTGCTTGCTCATTTTCATTCTCTGCCTGAGTTATCCCGAGGAACTGCCATGCCTACAAGAAACAACTGATGTCAACATTGCAAGAGGAAGCAAATTAATCACTCATGTGCAGTAGTTGGTTTGTTTACCTGCGACAGATTCCTCTATGCAGAGCAACCTGTCTCAGATGGGAGAGTCTTGTAAAGGGGGAAAATAGTGCATGCATTTCTCTAGTCAAATTCTTTTGTGACACTTGGAAACTTTCCCGTGACCCATGAAAACCTCTGCGTTTCTGAGATATTAGGTATCTTAAGACCAAAAGATAAGCACACAAAAATATGCATTTGTGATGACAAAAGGTAGAAAAATAATCCAGAAATGTAGCTAAGTAAAGTTTATAGTAAGAAGTCTCAGGATGTACAAAATTAACTTGTATAAATGAAAGTCAAGCAGTAATTCGAAGAGGCAACAGGAAATTTAGGAACTAGGGCAAAACAAAACCAAACCTCTTTCAAGGTGTTTAATGCCCTATTTTAGGGTTGGGCAGTAGGTTTACAGTTTTGAGGACATGACACAGTTTATTCCTGTGTTGTTACTTATTGTATTATTTTCCATCTAAACAATTATAAGCCTACTTTTGCCCCACCCTGTATAATCACTGTCAAAATGCACAAAACATATAAAGTGCAATGTAATGTACCTATAATTTTAAAGCCTACACTTAACACTTTATATTGCATCATAGCATTTTTCCCCCCTGGTTTTACAAAATCTTCCTACTTCTAGTTCTGAATTTAAATTTTGTTGAATGGATATACTATTATTAACTCAACCAGTTCCTTTATTGCTCTGAGATTGTTTTCAGTCCTTTGCTATTGTAAATAATGTGAGGAATATCTCCAAGCACATAATGTTTTTCACATCTAGAATGACTTTTTTAATATTAGCCCAGTAATTCTCACACCATTACAAGAGCAATGCACATAAAAAAGACCTCCCATTACACACCTTGTCCTCAAATTTGCTGGGGGTGTATCTGAGTCCTGGGGATTTAAAAAGGTTTGGGAAGTTGCATAACTCTCCCATCGTTGAGAATCATTGCTATGGATGTTTGAAAATAAGCTATATGAAAACATATAGAGTTATCTCAAAGCGCTAAAAATTATGAATTATTATCACACATGCTATACATACTCATAAAATACTAATTATTTCCCCCACAGTTTTAGTGACCCTTTTTAATCTTTCAAATGTACATAAAGCAGCAACCATTTTTTTATGTTCCCTTCCATACATCATAGAATGCTTCTTAAGAAGAGATGGATGGATGCCCTAACTGGTTTGGCTCAGTGGATAGAGCATTGGTCTGCGGACTGAAAGGTCCCAGGTTCGATTCCGGTCAAGGGCATGTACCTTGGTTGTGGGCACACCCCCAGTGTGCAGGAGGCAGCTGAGTGATGTTTCTCTCTCATGGATGTTTCTAACTCTCTCTCCCTCTCCCTTCCCTGACTGATGTTTCTCTCTCATTGATGTTTCTAACTCTCTCTCCCTCTCCCTTCCTTTCTGTACAAAAATCAGTAAAATATATTTTTTTTAAAAAGAAGAGATGGATGGAAGTCTTTCTCTGAGGGCTTCTTCCCAGGCTTTGGGCATCACCTGCACTGTCCACAGAATGTCTGCTATCTTAGATTAGGGTCCTCACAGATTCAGAAACCCTGGGTCATTACCTGGGACCCACTTGTAATCAAATGTCCTCATTTTCTCATTAATGAATCTGGGATAATAACGCATACTTTTTTTTTTTAACCTCCCAAAGTTGTTTTGTCAAATGATATAATCTACATGAGAACATATGGCATTTAGAAATGTAAGGTAACATTATTTTTTTGGCAGGGGGCATGTGTGACCTGTATTTTTCTATTAATGCAATGATTTTCTCTTCTACCATGATTCAAACATCTTTGTTGTTGTTGACACCATTACAGATGTCCCTCCTTTGCCCACTTCCACCCCTCCCCTGGCCTTCATCACTCTGTTGTCTGTGTCCATGGGTTATAGGTTATGTATATATGTTCTTTGGCAACCCTCTTCACCCTTTTTTTAAAAATAGCTTTTGAAAAGTGCTAATATTTTGATTCTGAATGCCAGCTCTTAGTTCAGTCTCATTTCATTATCAGTGTTCTGACTAACAAGATACCAGGGGCTTTAGTGACCAGTATACTTGTTTTTTCAACATGTAGTACAACCAATAGTAGTAATAAAGGCTAAATACTGACGCAGCAGACACTGAACTGAGCACAAAACGAATCTAACCCTCGCCAAACCCAATCAGATGGTTATTACAATCGTGATTTCCACTTTACGTATGAGGGAACGGAAGCTGAGAGGGTTTAAATGACTTGTCCCAGACCACATGGCTCATGGCCAACCAGCAGGAGAGCTCGTGATACTGCTGTGTTTGAACCCACACAGAGTGCCAGAGTCTGAGAAGCTGAACCACTGTTCCATACTGCCTTCTTAGCACCGTACAGAACAATTCCTAAACATTTCTCAAATTCCTCTGGGTGCATCCCTTATAAGAAGTTTCCCGAAAACTACAATCTATGAAGAAAGACTTTCTATCTGCCACTGTCTTATGACAGGCCTCCACAGGTTTGGATGTGTCTGGACCAAGGTAAGATTGTAGAAGCCTTTTTGGTGGTCTCTCCAATCATCCTTTACAGCTCAGAGAAAGGTGTTTTTCTAACATGTCCTTTCCTAGTGGTCTCCTTCCCCATGGCTTTCAGGATGAAGTTCAAACTCTTGCCTGCCTCTTGGTGCCTCCACTCTTGCCATTCACCCCCCCCCCGCCCCCCCATTCCCTAACCTAACGTTTCAGGCTCCTCTGCTCAGCCACCAGCCATTTCCTCTGAACAACATCTCCACTCCCTGCTGTCTTTAATGAGGCCTCTCACCCTGGAAGCTCAGCCCCAGATTCACTCAGAGGGGAAGGCTGAGTCAGTGTCTTGCTGTCTGCTCTCCTAGCCTCCCGTGCACTTGCATTTATGACCCTGCCCTGGTTTGTTTACTTGTCCCTCCAGATAGACCGTTAACCCGTCTTTTCAGTTGTCCCATGTCTCCAGCCTTCCAGAGATCTGGGCCAGTGTGTGGCACAAGTCCTGGGACGGAGCGTGTGTCCGATACAGGTGGAGTGAGTAAATCAATGGTGAGAGAGGGTGTCTCTCTAGACCCGGACAAGACAGCACACTGCCCCTGAACACCGCTGCTGAGCGACCAGGTAGGCAGTATTCGTTTCTCATCTCTTCTCTCCATCCTGTCTTTTGTGGCACCATAGACAGACATTGCAGATTTGGTTAGAACACAGGTTATATCACACTATGCCAGGCTAACCCCTTTGGGAACCGTGACTCGATGGAAATGTGTCACCCCCTGTCCCTCACTAGCCCATGCAGCCCCTCTCTGTGTCACCCCCTGTCCCTCACTAGCCCATGCAGCCCCTCTCTGAGCCTGGCAGGATGAGGGGGAAAGACACCTCTGCATCTCCCGGGTCCTGAAGAATCGCGGCCTCCATGAACAGGATGGTGACGGGGAGGTCCCCTTCCTTCAGCCTCTTCAAGCCTTCTTCAAATGCGCCCGGCCAGTCCTTGAAGGGGTTTTCAGTGTGGAAGTAATAGCCCTGCAACACAGAAGGGCCAACACAGATCCATCGGTTTATCTCCTCATTCTCACGTGCAGTAAGCCCTTTTAGAATTTAAATTAAATTAAAGTGCTTAATTAGTTTAATTGCAATTAAATTCTTTTATTTTTTTGAAATCTTATTTTATTCATTTTTTAATATATATATTTTATTGTTGATAGTATTATGGATGTCTCCCATCTGTCCCTTTAACTCCCTCCTCCCAGCTCTTACCCATGCCCTCAGGTCTTGGCCCCTATTGCCTGTGTCCATGGGCTATGTACTAAGTATATAAGCTCTTTGGTTTATCCCTCCTCATCTTCCCAACCCCCAAGAAAGGTATATTTAATTGTGGTGAAATTTTATTTTACATACATAGCATAAAATTAACCATTTAAATTTAAATTACTGTTCTTTTCTTATTATGAATGTACATTTTCATTGTATACACGTTATATTTTGTCATTGAATAATACAAAAAGCACCCAAAATGCTGCAACTTAAATATGATCACTGCTAATGTTTTGGAGTTTGTTTTCATTCTGATATTTCTCTTGTTCATTTTGTTTTAACCACTCCCTTCCCTGCCCCCTAATAGTGTAAAAATACTGAGTTTTTGCATATATTTTTGCTACATGCTCCCACCTAGTTCCCTGAAGTGTTAATTCTGCATACTGTACATCTGTTTATGCACTGTGGCCCTTTTGAAGGTTATAAACCATTGTAATATCTAAGATTTCTTTTGTCCTCCCACTCCTCAAAACAGTGTATGCCCCATTGGTGGCTATATAAGCCCCTGAGAATGCTTGTTTTAAAGTTATAGGTCTTCTTTCATTGTAAAAATGTAAACAATGCAGAATGTACAAATAATCTTCTAGTATTTTTCTTTTTTTTAATAATTTTTTATTGTTCTTATTACTACAAATGTTCCCCCCCCCCATTGCTCTCCTCCACCAGGTTCCCACCCCACCCTCTGCCCTTTCCCCACTCCCCATTGTCCTCATCCATAGGTGCACAGTTTATGTTCAGTCTCTTCCCACGCCCCCCTTTCCCCTTTTCCCCAAGAATCGTCAGTTCACTCCCCTTCCATACCTCTGATTCTATTATATTCAACAGTTAATATTGTTCATCAGATTTTTTTTTAAATTTCCTTGGTTTTTAGATTCACTTGTTGATAGTTATGTATTTGTTGTTCATAATTTTTATCTTTGTTTACTTTCTCTTCTGAAAGAACCCCCTTCAGCAATTCATATAATTCTGGTTTGGTGTTGATGAACTCCATTAGCTTTTTTTTATTTTATTAGTGAAGCTCTTTATCTGACCTTTGATTCTGAGTGATAGCTTTGCTGGATAGATTATCTTTGGCTGTAGGTTCTTACTATTCATCACCTTGAATATTTCTTGCCATTCCCTTCTGGCCTGCATGGTTTCTGTTGAGAAGTCAGCTGACAATCGTATAGGTGCTCCTTTATAGGTAATTACCTTCTTTGCTCTTGCTTCTTTTAATATTCTCTCTTTGTCTTTTGCTCTTGGAATTTTAATTATGATGTGTCTTGGTGTGGTCCTCTTTGGATTCCTTTTGTTTGGAGTTCTGTGCATTTCCTGGACTTGTAAGTCTAATTCTTTCACCAGGTGGGGGAAGTTTTCTGTCACTATTTCTTTCAGTATGTTTTCGATATCTTGTTCTCTCTCATCTTCTGGGACCCCCATAATTCTGATATTGGTTCGCTTGAAATTGTCCCAGAGGTTTCTTACATTATCTTCAATTTTCTGGATTCTCTTGCCTTCTAGCTTCTGTGGAGGAGTGTCTTCTGGCTCTTTATGTTCCAAATCTTTGACTTGATTCTTGCGATCTTCCATTCTGTTTTTAGGACTCTGTAAAATATTTTTTATTTCAGATAATGTATTCTTTATTTCTTGTTGATCCTTTATCATTTCTTGATGACTCCTTATTAATTCTAGTTGATCTCTTTTCATATCCTCATAGGTCTTATCCATCTTTTCTAGGAAATTCTTGAAAAACTCTATATCCAGACACTTTTTGTCCTCCATTTCTTTTGTTTGTGATCTATTTTGTTGTCGCATTTCTCAGTTACAGATGGGACAGGGTGGAGCCTACAGCTTTGGCTTCCGTCAGCCCCGCCCTATGCAGGTCCTTCAGTGCTCGCTGAGAGAACGGTGCCCTCGATTTTCGCTTGCTGCCAAACAGTCTATGCTCTCCCCCAATGAGCCCGGTATTGGGGTTCAGTTCAGTTGGAAGTGGAGTTGGAGGTGGCGTTCAGAGAAGTCCGGAGCTTTTGTCTCCTTCTGGCCAGGCAATCCCGCGGCACAGCCGACCGTCCCTTCTCCTTTCGCCGCTTCCCAGGGGTTCCACCTTACAGCCCGGCTCCCTATGGCTGAGCCTGAGTCCCCCGGGGTCTGGCCTAGAACTGGGGTTCAGAGCAGTCGGGGGGCCCAGCACAGTCGGAGTTTTAACTCCTTTCCGCTAGGGAACGCCCGCCAGGCACTCCGCCTCCCCCTCCTCCGCCTCCCCCTCCTCTCCGGCTCTGTCCTCTCCGCGCGCCGCGTGTCTCTGTACCTTGGGCTTTTCCAGCTCCTCCGCGCTTCCCTCTGGTTTTCTCCTTGCTTCTCGCTGTAGGATTTCCAGTCAGTCAACTTTCCTGTAGTTCTGGGTAATGTCCATTTTATATTTTATTGAAATTGTTGTGTGCGGCTGCGGCTAGGTGTTTACCTGGGTGCAGCCATCTTGGATTCCCACAAGTCCTTTTCTTTTAGTATTTTTCTATGACTATATACTTTAAACAAATAAGCTCATACTATAGGTGCAGGTTTACAGTGTAAGCCCACTTTGTTTTAGTTATTATAATTATTTATATTAACATTTACTTAGTCAAATCCATATTGATGGACTTTCAGATTATTTTCATAAATAAAGTTACAGTGAAAGCCTCATGCTCAAATCTTCGTGTGCATTGATTATTACCTTAAGATAGACTTCTAGAGAGATTTATTAGACTAAGATGTGACTATTTTGAGGCCCTTGATATGCATAGCTGAATTGTTCTTGAGAAAGTATGTCCCAATTTAAATTCTCAACAGAAATACCTGAGAGATTTTATTTATTGCAACATTAGTTTGCATGGATTATAATAACATCTTTCTAATTTGATAGATACAATTAAGCTAGCCTATAGATGATGCTACTGAGATTTTAAAATAGATCAAGTGAAGGCCTTCAAAAAGACAAACCCCTTATCAAAAGCCACGGAGCTTATGTAATTGTTTTGCAGATATGGGGTCCCAGGAGTGTGGGGCTCAGGGTCCAAGCCATATCTCAGGTTCAAGGACTATAGTTCAAAATGGGGCATGGGGAGATGGAAGTAGGAGACATCTGTAATTAGAGTCTGATGTTCTGCATCAATATTCTTTCTCTTACTTAGTTTTGATTTTTTTTTTTTTTGTAGAAAAGACAGTTATTCTTAATGAGATGGTTGTTCCAATTTTATGAGATTGCCTGGCCTACTGAGGGACACAGAATATGAAGAAGAGAAAGACATTTTAATGACTATGTAGATTGAAAATCCCCTAAGATCAGGGACTATTAATCATCATTTCCCTAGTAGCTAGTGCAGAGTAGACACAAATAAATATTTGTTGGGTTGAACTATCATGGAAATTATACAGAATTAAATATTATTGAGACTTCCTCCACAAAAATCATAATACAAGCATATACTATATATGATTCCCCTCCCCAGTGTAAGAAAATTCCACAAATCTTTTTATCTCTCAAGTCATTTAAACTTATTTCTCAAGCCTCTGCTCGTCCCTTGGATTTAAAAGCATAAATCCAAGGGCAACTGGGATCTCATGGGTAATTTGGCTGGTTGTTCACTGCGCTCACATTTGTTGGAGCTCCTGTCAAGGGAAATATCTCTGAGGGATCCCTTGGGACTTGATCTGGTTGTGTGAAGGCTACCTTTTCCACAGAGTTTCTCTGCTAGCTGTATAATGACTACCTGCGAGATACAGTCCTAAGCCCTGCTTCACCCTCCTGCCCATTAATATCACTTCTGTCAGCTCATCGACATGGCTCATGGGGCTGACTGACGAAAAGCATTGTGGGATTAGCCAGGTCTTGTTCCAGAACACATCCTCAAAGTCAGCTACCCTGTTTCCCCGAAAATAAGACAGTGTCTTATATTAATTTTTTGCTCCCAAAGATGCACTAGGTCTTATTTTCAGGGGATGTCTTATTTTTCCATGAAGAAGAATATGGTACACATTTATTGTTAAATGAAAATAAAGGAAATTTATTACCTGTATACGGTACGGTAGTACGTTAGTTGTCAACACAAACCAGACAAACTGTGAATCCTACAGTATCAAGAATTTACTCATTTATTCAATGACAATCATGTCATCATCTTCTGGAACATCATCATAACAATCCAATTCCTGAATTTCCTGGTGAATTTCTTGTGACTCCATTTCTTTCAGAATCAGTGGACCAAATCTCTCATGTTTAGCCTAGGGGGGGCCTTATTTTCAGGGGATGCCTTATATTTCACTCAGAAGGAAACCTGTAAGTAGGTCTTATTTTCGGAGGATGCCTTATTTTTGGGGAAACACGGTAGGTCAGTAACTGGCCAGCAGTCAGGATCTAAACTGTAGTTGACTGCCAAACTGTCTGTAACAACACTGATAAAAAATAAGGGTATTCCATTCCAGCTTTGCTGTTCTGATACATTGTCTGATTATATTGTTTTCATCTACCAGAATTTCTTCTAGATCTGACTGATATTAAATCATCTATTTGAGTCTTAGATTCCCCCCCCCCTCCCAAAATGATTACCAACTAATTTATAATTATATGGTTCAGAGAGATTGAGAAATCCTGTCAGCATGTATAAGAAGACAATTGGTCACCTTCTCGCTGGCTGAAATGGTAACTTGGTTCTGAGCTTCTTGGTTCTCGGATATCCAGTTCCTCCGGGCCATTTCTTCCCACTCTGCTTGCATCTTATCCCAAAACTCTGTATCTGACTAGAAGACAGGAAAAAATCAAGAGAGTTGGATTTAAGAGCATGCTCTATCATTTGGTTTGTTTCCAGAAAGACAGTTTTCTCTATGGATCAAAATGATACTCAAAGCTAAAGAGCTTCTGGAGGGTCCTCAGAGGGCAGAGTGTTGAACCGAATGAACTGTGACTTTCCCAGCAGGAAAATTGCTACCATCTGAAGGCCCTGGCTCATCTAGGCCAAATTCAGCTAAAAATCCATTACTTGACCAATTTCAAGTGTGGGTACCAGACACGCGTTTCAGGAAGGGTGGCCTTTCCTCCAGGTGTTCCTAGGATATGAGGAGTTGGAGCAACGGCTTTGGGACTGGCTGGGCAGTGACTTGGTTGAGGCAGTTGGCTATGGACAAAGAAAAGTAACATTAGTTGACCCTATTCTGTGCCATGCACTGTCCTGGGAGAAATGTGATCCTAGAAGGCTGTGGTCACAAAGCTAGGGTGGCACAGGAACTGATTCCTAGTCTGGCTTCCTTTATCACCTTACGACAAACCTGGCCTCCTGATGCTAAAGAATGAAGGACCCCGGCTTTGTGAACTTGGCTGAGTTGTCTTCAAGGTCTTTTCTATGGAAGGATAATTTTTAAAAAAATAACTTTTTTCTTATAGTTTTATTTTTTTTATTTGTTACATCTTTCAAAAGGGAACACTGTTTTTACTTTAGAGGAGATTTGTGTTCTGGATGGAGGCAGAATTTTTTTTCCAAGATCTGTTCCAGGTTGGCTTAGGTGTTCTGGGGAGAGGAAAAAGGGGCAAGTGTCTTAAAGAACGTAAGGAAGAAAGGGGAACTTTCCAGGGGTCGGGAGAGAAGAGGTGGTAGGTTCTGAGATGAGTGAGAGGCTGGTGCTTAGTTTTTAGGTATTTCCCTAGCAAATTAGACTAACCTCCAAGGGGATGACAGAGGGGATAAGTGGGGGAGAGGCCTGACTTGAACTCTGATCTCCATGTGTCAGGAAAATAGAAAGAGAGAGAGAGAAAAAAAGAATTTTAAGGTACCACTTGAGGCTTGGTTGGCTGTTAGCAGCAAGGCAAATAAGAAAGTGAAGACTCATCCTTGTTTTCTGGCAGCACATACACTTCCCAGATTTGGTGTCTGAGACTAAATTACTTTCCCAGTGTGGCAAGAGAGATGCGTGGAAACCACCTTATTGGGGTTTTTTTGTTTGTTAAGAGAATTTTCACTTTTTAAAAAAAATTTATTATATTTTATTGATTTTTTTACAGAGAGGAAGGGAGGGAGATAGAAAGCTAGAAACGTCGATGAGAAAGAAACATCAACCAGCTGCCTATTGCACACCCCCTACCGGGGATGTGCCCGCAACCAGTGTACATGCCCTTGACCGGAATCGAACCTGGGACCTTGAAGTCTGAAGACGCTCTACTGCTGAGCCAAACCGGTTTCGGCTACCTTATTGTCTTTTAAAAAAAACAAGGAAATGGGCATTTCCTGAATACCTGAGTCAGGGGCTGAGATCCATACTCTAGCTGCAAATCTCAATTTTTATGATTCTAAGTCCTGTGACTTGTTGACACATCATCAACCTGATTTGAGGTTGCTTTTTGCCTTTGAATCCTCCACACCACCCTCATGCCTGGTGGTGGTTGTGCTATAGTGGGAACTTTTCCAAGTTGCTTGGAATGACAAATATAATCTTATTTCTTCTGCATACCAATTCTCAGGGAATAAAGGTATACGCAATGTGATAAACCTCAGACTACTAAATAAATAGTAGGTCTTGCTCTTTTCCTTTATCATATCCAGAATACTCATTCCTACCACAGTCCTCAGTGGAGGCCTCCCTTCAATGAAGGCTCTGGGCAGCAGGCATCGTGAGAATCTATGATTGGGATGCTAGAAGCACATGGAACGGCCACCACATATCCAGGTTAAAATTGGGAACGCAATTCAAAATTTCGAGTCTTTTTAGTACAACGCTAAATTGTGCAAACAGAATGATCTCAGGTATACAAAAGCGATGGCTAGATAAACTACTTGGAGGAAATAAGGTATCCTGCTAAGAGAAATCTCTTTGAATGAAGGGATGATGGGTGAGGCTTTACCTGCTTCTTTACATTTTTCCATACTTTTTGAATTTTCTGATTTTGCATTAATTTTACAATAATAAAGGTTAAAAACAACAATAAAAATATATTAGCGTTCCATTTTTAGGTCCATGAAACCTGTACACTTAGATATGAAGGAGTTAGGAGACATTTTTTTTTTTTTTTTTTTTTTTTTTTTTTGCCCTGAAAAGCTTTTCAAAGAGGCAGGCTCATCCTGTCTTCATAGATACTGACAGAAATTTGTCAAGTGAATTTTACAATGTTTACTGACTCTCTCAAGCCCCCTGGTGGGTAATGTGAAGTGCCAATGACTTCCAGTACTTTTTAAGGCAGTTACTTGTTTCCCTATTGAGGTTCTCCAGAATTTAAAGCGATTACAAGTCTTTTGAAGGAAAGAATGAGAAAGATTTTATAATGTGTACACCTGGGTTATAAAAAGATGCATCACCTTTCCTGCAGTTTCAAATGCGAGCAGGGGATGCATAAATAAAACTGCTGTGCGCATCAGAGGAACCTCAGCTCAGAGAAGGTGGGGCGGGATGGTGGTGGCAGGAGGCTGCCTGGCTCTCACTTAATGATACACACCAGGCCTTACTGTTACCACTTAGAATAAGTTTCTGACTAATTAAAGTGCACAGCACAGTTTCATTTAATTACGGGAGACTATTTTTAGCACAATCAATTTTCATCCAGCCTCAAAATCCAGACTTCATTCACCTAACCGCAATTAACACTGCTGCTTTTTTTTCTATGTCTAATCAATTTCAAGAAACTAGAGACATATTTGAATTTTAAACATTTTAGACAGGACTGAGGGGATTTAATATATTGATGATTTTCTTAGTTGTCCTGATATTGTGGTAGTTTTTTTTTTTTTTTTAATATTCCACAGGTAATAAGTTATATGCTTATACCAGAAATGAGCTATTGTTGCAAACCATTTTCATTTTCAAAAACAGCTGTCTGATTTTATCAATGATATTTTTAAAAACTTAGGATATGCAGTATGATGGGTAAGAACAGCAGCCCTCTCCTCAGAGGAACCTGGGGACAGATTCTGGCTCCATCACTAACCTTCTGCAAGTACTATTACCTCCCCATGTCTCATTTTCCTTGACTTTAAAGTGAAGATATATAATAGCAATCTTGGTTATTTGTTATGAGGACTAAATGAGAAAATGTATCTATGGCATATAGCGCATGGTAAATGCACAATAAAAATAGGTGTTCTTGTTAGTTTTTTTCCAGCATTTAAAATGATAAAAACAAAACAAAACAAAAACGAACGAAAATCACCCACAATATCAAAGATCAAATATCCATATTTGGTGTTTTAATTACATATTATTTTCCAGATATATTTCCATTAGTTATATAAGATTTTTCCCTTCTAATTATTAAAAAAGAGAAGGAAAGTTAAGAATATTGTGGCAAAAATAAACTGTTATATAGCAGTATAGTATTCCATTGTGTAGATATACCACAGTTTTTTAATCCACTCATCTGCTGATGGGCAGTTAGGCTGTTTCCAAATCTTAGCTATTATAAATTGTGCTGCTATGAACATAAGGGTGCATATATCCTTTCTGACTGATGTTTCTGATTTCTTAGGATATATTCCAAGAAGTGGGATTACTGGGTCAAATGGAAGTTCCATTTTTAGTTTTTTGAGGAAACTCCATACTGTTCTTCACAATGGCTGCAACCAGTCGTCTGTCTTTTTGCCTCTTTAGACATCCATTGATTAGCTGTTACTGGACAAAACTTTAAAAAACAACCAACCAACCAGTTCCTTCTTTATGTGCAAAACATAAGAGAGGAATGAAAAATCACCATGCAAGGCTAAAGTGTTTGCCACAATAAAAGATTTTTGTTGAAGTGAAATTATGTGCAGTCAGTTAGGGACCTCATTGTTCTGAGATCCGGTAGCCCAGGCTGGTGAAGACTGGCTAAGCTCTACCCACTCATCACATCTCTTGTTGACTAAGCTCAGTAGTAGACAAAGAAGATATTCAATCTGAGGCTGCAATCATAAATGTGAATCACCCTACTCAAGGATGGGATAGAACCCGAATTGGTCAGAATTAGTTTGAGCTCTGGGTGCAGTCCTGGGTGTCTCACAAGTGAGGGGTTATTGACAAATGAGTAACTCAGGCAAGAATGAAAGTGCAAGAGTAACCCTGTTTATGAAGCAATTTACCTAGGAAAGCAGGGCTCTGAGAGCTGAACAAGCCAGCTTAGCCTTATGTAGATAAGAGAATTTAGAAGAGCGAATGGCAGCTCCAGGGAGTAGATAGACTTTTATCAAAAGTGATATGAAACTGTCTGAAAATGGAGTTGGCTGTTTCCTCCTCAGGATGGATGCTCCAACATTAGAAGTCTTTAAAAACAGACAGAATAACCAATGTGAGGAGTGTTGTAAAGAAGACTCACAGATTAGATGGAGGTTTGACCCAATAAATTCTGCGGTCTTTTACAACCCTGAGGGGCTTTGGCTGAAACACATTAATGAATTGACTTACTGAGGAAACAGGAAGGCTCAAAATGAATTAACATCTCAATGAGATAAGTGGAGCTGTCCTGGGTGCTCATTCTCAACCTAAACAGTATAAGGACAAAAACTCATGGACTTGGCATCAGCTAGAACAGGTGGAATCTGGCTGTGCCCCTTGTCACATGACCTCTTTAACTCAGTTCACCTCTTAGACTCAGTTTTCTCATCTGTAAAATGTAAAATGTCTCTCAGGGTGGTTGTGCCAATTAAGTGGAACAATGTATGTAAAGTGCTTAGAACTTGAAACATTAAGAACTAAGGAACCAGCTTACATAGTTAATGCTATTTTCTATTTGTAAGTGAAAAAGAATATTTCCCAAGATAGAGAGAGGATGCAATCCCACAAGCTGT